GAGATTCAGGAAGTGGCGCGGTAGCTCAAGTGGTAGAGCGCTCGCCTTGAGCTGAAGAGCTGAGGGACAGCGCCCAGGCCCAGAGTTCAGGCCCCACGACCGACAAAAAAAAAAAGAGCAAGAAAGATATATAGCTAGTTCTTTGGCTGATGAGGAGCACCCAATAAGGAAGGGGGAATGAGGATACAGAGAAGGAAAGAAGGAAGGTTTGTGAAAGCAATGTCTTTCTGTTGACCTAATCAATGGGATCTAGAGCTCAGGCACACACCTTGGTTTTAGCTGGGAGCACAGACAGTTCATCCATAGAAATAGCAGGGAAGATGGAGAACCTCGAACTTGGAAGTGGGGTAAATACCCAGTGTGGGAGTTCATTGATATCTTCCTATGAGTGCTTGATTTTCTCAGTGAATTCAGAAGAAAGGGCAGTCGTTGAGGAGGATGGGGAGAAATACTAGAGGACATGAAATAGCTGTACAGAAGGATGAATGGACTGGGGAAATACCACAAGATTGTCAAGCAACATTAAGTGCCTGTCTGAGGATTGTGGTCATACATTCTGTAGGAATTTTCTTTGTTTATATTGGGCTGCACAAGTGCAGGTACAGGACAGGTGGGTGGTCTCATGAAAGCTGACTTAGGGGTTTTTCAGGTGAGCATTAGGAAACCTGAGAGGGTAAGAGAATGGAAAACATTTGCACAGCAATATTTACCCAAAGGAACAGGAGAGGGGAGCTTACTAAGGGGAGGAGTATGGGAGGGAAACAACATAGTTTCTATGCGGCCTAAGAATTGTTGAAGTTGAGGATCTACACAGGGGTTGAGCTGGAAGTTATAAAGGGGGTGGAGAGTAGGCTTGCTGTAGGTGAAATATTCGGAGGTTGTCTTTATGGGTATTATGTGGCCAAGAGAAATGGGGGGATAAGGATAGTGTAGAAAAGGTGTTCAAGGAATTGAGATGAGAGGGTGTTTGAAGAATTATCTATTTATATCAATATTGAAATCATTAAGCATTATAACAAGATCAGCATTCAGGGAAGAGTATATATAAATTGGGCTCATGCTTGTAATCCCAGCTACTCAGGAAGCTGAGATCCAGAGGATCACATTTCAAAGCCAATAAGGTAGAAAAATTGGAGACTCTAGATCCAACTAACCAGCACAAAACTAGGCTGGTGGCATGGCTCAAGTTCTAGGCAAGCAAGCAAGCCAAGCAAGAGTGGCGTCCTAAGTTCAAACTCTGGGAAAAGGGAGTATATGTAGTGAGATATACATCTATCTATCTATCTATCTGTATCTATTATGATCCAGGAGCAAAAGCTTGAAAGAATGAAAGCAAATGCTCAGGGTTGATAAATGACTGCAACAAGCGGTGGCCATCATAGCTTTTCCCCTTCTTTTTCCATCATGTAATGAAACAGGAGTATCTCCTTGACTTTTGTTTCTATTATCTGAGCAAGGTTAGCCCATTCTTGTGTGTTTAAGGTTGTTTGTGTTTCATTCTCCCTGAACTGTGTTCATATCCTGTACTTATTCTTCCATAGGAGACTGCATTTTCTTAGTGACTTGAAGAAGTACCTATGAAAGAAATTAGTCTTTTGTCATGAGTTGCACATACTTTTTTCTGGTTGATTGTTGCTTATGATGAAATTTGCCCCATTTCTCAATTTTATTTTATTTTATTTTTAGTTCTAGCAAGGGTTTATTTTAGTATGACAGGTAAAATAGGGAGAAATGAAGAGAAACATTTTCTGCAGGAAATGGGAGTTAAAGTCTTTCAGTCTCAAGTACTCTGAGCTCAAAAAATCCTATATATTTTTAATTTTATAAGTTTATTTAATGATACATTTTGTACTATCCTATGGTTTCTTCTAGTACTTTTATGATTTTATTATTTATATTCAAATATTTGACTTGGTAGGTTCCATATGGTATATACAAAAGAAAAATAAAACAAGATAGAAATAATGAAACATATAGTTAATATTCACTGGGAACTTATCAAGAAAGCTGAAATCAAGAATATTAAAAACACTAGGGGCCGGGTGCTGGTGGCTCACACCTGTAATTCTAGCTACTCAGAAAGCTGAGATCTGAGGATCACAGCTCAAAGCCCGCCTGGGCAGGAAAGTCTGTGATTCTCTTATCTCCAATTAACCACCAGAAAACCAGAAGTGGTGCTGTGGCTCAAGAGGTAGAGCACTTGCCTTGAGCTGAAGAGCTGAGGGAAGTTGTTCAGGCCCAGAGTTCAAGCCCCACAACTGATAAAAACAAACAACAACAACAAAAAAACACCAGTGAAGGTGGAACTCCCATTTCATACTACTATCTATCCCTCTTATAAAGATTAACTGAATTTTTAGTGTGCATTTCAAAAAATATAGTTAGGGCTGGGAAAGTGGCTAAGTGGTAGAGTGCTTGCCTTGCATG